AAGTGGCTATCGTGGCACAAATCGATCGCGCCCGACTCGTTGCCTCAAAAACAAACGCGTTGTTTTCCGGCAACGAGTCGGGCGATCATCCCGACCCGATCTCATCCACAACGGGCACGGGGCGGGCACTCGGGCACCCTGTAGTAAAAAGGAAGTGGTATATCTAATTTCAGGTACGAATTGTCCCCCTTCGCGTCGTTATTTTTAGTTGTGGAAGAAAATTTCGGTTATTTTTACCGAAATTAAATGATTATTTTTCCAACTTTTGCAGAAAATTGCCTAAAATTCGTGAATTCACGAAAATGGCAAAAGTTGCGCAAAAGTTGCGTTGAGGCCAAAAGTTGCGCGCGCAAATTTCTCTGAGGACAGATAAAAGAAAAAAGCACCCAAAAACGCAAAGTTCACCAATGTTTAAAAATCTTGAAAAGGAAGTTGTGAAAAGATTAGTTGACATTTCTCTTTATTTTCTCTCTGACATTAATTTTCCATCCCTGTGACATTTAAACAATATTTAATTTCTTTAACAGAGTTTTATAAACCTAATGATTTCGTTCTGAAATTTCTAGAAGCAGTGCTCCCCATTCCCTCCTTTGGACTCGACACATTTTTAACGTGTCGTTCGAAATGTTCTGTGGCGCCCTAACACATGGACCTGCTAAACCATGAGTTTTTAAAGCCACATGCACTGTACATGTTCACTAAGGAGTGGTTTCTAGAGACAATAGAGTGGGGTGCCCAAGAGACAGCATGTTTGGAGTTAACATATCCCGCAGCGTGGTAATGGGCTTTGCACTAGACCAAAAATCGAGGAAATGATCCCTCTTTATAAGACAATCGAGGAAGCATGAACACATTGCCATGCTCTGATCCATGTCATCTCAGCCTAGCGAAGATGAACATGGTATAGTTGTAGGTTAAGATCTGAGAATGCAGACTGATGATGTGTAGGAAAGTCCTAGCCGCAGATCATCCATGGATACACGTCTCATGGGACTCGGCTACTGAAATCTGCACTCTGGTGACGTTTAAAGGGCTGCGCATGGTGCGTGTTCGACCTGAAGTGGTCCTTTTAAAAATAATGTCTTAATTCTGATTCACTATAGATCCAAACTAACAGAACTTCTCCACTCATGACGCCAAAGGTCTTGAGGGCACCTAAGCATTGTCTCCATGCCGCGCGCAGATTTACAAAATGTCAGGGATCGTGAGTTTGTGGAGAGGTAATGTTCAATACAAAAAGCTCTCTGCTCTTTACTAAACGTTACCATGATCTAAGCAGGCAAACACAATTTGGGAAAAATAATATCTGCAGACTTCTGTTGACTTGTTAGACTGCTGTAGCTTGCAATAAGGCGCGATTGTTGCAACTTTTAGAGGTAGGCCTAACGCCAACTGGTGCGTCATGCTATGGAAATGGCGACAAGGTTGAAAATGGGGTGTTTTTTAAAGTGTGCTATATAGAGCAAAACCATTCAATAGACTTATCTAGAATACATATCAGACAAATTCCTTTTGGCTTCCAAACGTCATGTTCAAATCTGAAACGCAAAACTTCAGTATGGAGGAAGATATTTAGAAAACAAGTTGTTAAGTTTTTTTTGGATCACCCTGTACTTCACAGGCAACATTTAATTCTCGATAAAGATATCCTGCCCTGTTTTACGTGTACTGGGTAAATATTTTCGTCCAATAAGTGTCTTCATAAACGCAGCTGATCATCATCTTAGAGTTGTCCAAAGAGGGAGGGAGTTCATTTAAAGCAATCGGTGAGCGTACATAAAGCCTGGAAAAATTCAGAGCCCTCTGTCTATATTATTACCTGATTCTTTCCAAACAGTGCACAGAAAGAAACAATTACACACTGGCCTTGCTTCTTAGAGGCAAGAATGATTTTTATAAATCGGAACAGAAATTGACACGACATTAAGAAACACCCAAACAAAAATCACTAATAAATCTATTCGTTACTGAAAAAAGGTGTTAGCTATTAACTACAAACTACTAAAACATAACACAGTAGTTGAAATACATCATGTGGTGTGGTCATACGAAAGTTTATTTGACAATAAATCAATGGCAAGCCTTGCTCGAGCTCAAATCATTATGTCTTTGAATCGAATAAAGTGCTTTACACTCTCAGCTCACCACACGTTGTATCTCTATTTTAAACAACAAACCAAACAAAATCAAAACAAGCAATCGCAGAAATGATCAACAAAAACCTGTCAAGAAGACAAAAGCTTTAAGAAATAGACTTTCTATCTTTGATAGGAACTATTGGGCCCTATGCTTCATTTGAATATATAGAAACGTCGAGCTGAATGTGTTCTCCATATTTTGACGGTTATACCCGTAGTGGTAAAGTAGTAAGACTCTTAGGCATTCACCGGCTGACAGGTTGCAAGGTAAGGGCATTACGTCATCTATATCACATGACCACCGCATAAAGCTACAAAAATATGCGAAAGGTCGAAGTTTTTAAAATCTGTCAACATCACTTGTAGTACTTTACAAACCAGCCCGCCTCCCAAATAATCTAAATGGGGTCTGTGGGCGTAAAAACACTTGCAATTACTGTGGGCTACTCACCAGTATCTGTTGGCATCTGAGATAGAAAAGAGGAAGGCTAGGATGCCGAACAGATAGGAATGATTGTTCCAAGAGGTCTTGTCCAGGAAGAACAAGTACCAGTACGGCCCCAGGTACAGAAGGCAGCTCATCCGGAACATGAAACCAAGCATGATACCCAAAGCACCTGAAACAAAATACAGATCATATTCCAAGTTTTTAGTTTTGTAAAGACTGTCCAGATTTCATGGTATATCCTCCAGTTTTTAGCACCATAGGGTATGGTCTGTTTGAGTAAAGAGAAGCACATTGAAACAACAATGGTCCTTTAGGGATGGGCAAAGGTAAGACAAGACAGACAGAAATAACAGAGGGAAAGTAAAGAAGTGGGACCTATGAGGGGCGCCCTCCAACGGCCTGCTCGGTATGTGTTTAACGATCCTACAAATACTGTACAAGAGACATGATCTCCGATTTCAACGTCCATCTCCGACGTGGAGGAGTCAAGAGGAAGAAAAGTCTTGGGGAAAAAAATTCAAGAACGCCCCTGTTGTGATTCGAACCAGGGTCATATGTGCCGCCATAGATCAGCATGATATCAATAACTGACCTATCAGCTTGCCTTCGAATCTATCGTTCAGAAGACTCTACATCAGAAGTCCACTAACATTGTGTGCTGGTTGTTTTGTCAATGTGTTACACCTCAATCGACATATGGCGCATTGTCTTCATTTAACAAGAATTTGTCTTCTCTCGAGCTATTAACAACATCACATTTAAAGAATGACCGGTTAGTTTATTTTCAAATGAACGTTCTGCCAGAAGTAAACGGACTTCGGTTGCCGCATTTACAACGAGTAACCCCCCCCCCCCAATTTTCGCCACCACTCCCATGTAATACCCCAACCCCCCTTTCCCCCTCTTTTTACACCCATCTCCCGTCTCTCTATAAGTCATAAAAGAAAAGCTGACGTCTACCTGGCTGTTGCCCCATTCGTTACTTCTTGGGCTGCCACGATATCAAAACAAGCAACGAAACAGGTAAGATAACTGCACTCGTATAACATTACTAAACAGTCAGTTGTCATCGAGGGAGTGAAGAGAACGAGTTTTAAAACGGAATCTTCTGACATCCAAAAACCCCTTCTCTACGATGCCAGAGAATTGAGTAATGGAGTGGGTGTAAGGGTAAAAACGAGGTTTATGAATCTCAGTTTATAGGCATAACAACACATTGCAGGCTACTTTGAGTGTGTGTGTGGTTGGGGGGGGGGGGGGGGGGGGGTGAAGGATCAGAAGCTGGGGATATGGGGTGGGAGTGAGGGGAAAGGGGAGGATGGGGTGAGAGGTTAGGAATGTGGAAGAAAAAGGGATGGGAATGACAATGGGGGAATGGGAGAATGGAGGAGGGGAAATGAAGGGTTGGAAAGAGGGAAACGGGGTGAGGGGGGTATAGGAGCAGTGTATAACAGGTTTATAAGTTTGGGACATAGGGAATATGCAACTCTCCCCCTTCCACCCCTCCCCAACACACACACACACACACACACACACACACACACACACACACACACACACACACACACACAAAGACACACACATCACAAAAGGAAATCTAGATAAAAAGAAGCATGAGCTTTTAAGACTAGTGATAAACAGATTTATGTACCACAGGAATTCCCATATACGGTAAGTCCAACCAGAGAACCTGAGACAGTCTCGGGTCAGGCAGTGAAGGGGTTAACACAACACAGGTAACTGAAGAGACGAAAGCGTGGAATTACAGGATGCAATATAAATCACCGGTACAAAAGGATGACATAGACAAAGTTAAAGACAAACACTCGAACACGGTTCGCCCACACTATAGATCAAAGTCACACCGATTGACCTTTACTGGAAGATAACGCAAAAATAATTTCGGACGACTGGTAGAATATTGAGAGTTCCACATTCATAAAATAAAGAATAAAGACAAGGTACAGACATGAAGTCAGGTTTGTCTTTTAGTATCGAGAAAGAGCAAGACAGAAAGACAGAAACAACACGGGGTGAGAAAAGAAGTAGTGTCCTCGACCAAACACCTTCATCAAATCTGGGACTAACTTACATTCACAATTATCTAATGATTGAGGAGAAAAACTTTTACCCCCCACCCCCCCCCCCCCAAAAAAAAAGATTAAATTAAATGAAATAAACCCAAAACACTAAAGCAACTCTATTTTAGAGACAAGTTATTGAGTCGTTGGTAACCGATATCTAACAAATAGGGAGCTCAATTTACGTATGATACGGTACAAGTGTATCCCCCCCCCTGTGTTAGGACATCTATGCGGCTGGACCTACTGATGTGCTACCCACTTTGGACAGCACTTTGCTATACGACGGAAAGCTTTGGAAACTCCGAAAACGAGCCACTTTAAAGAACAACCCACTGAGGATACGAACCATGGTTCAGTATGACATCAACTGAGCTATTGGGGCACCATGTACATTTTAGGAAGAACAAATAAGGAAGATAGCTACACTGAATGAAGAGTGGATTGTTGCCCAACGCTTAACAACCACACGTATCCAATTTAGAGATAACGTTCCCTCTTAAATGCACATTATGTATGTCTATGTATATTTTTATCTATATGCATAATAATTATGCATATTAAGTATACGTATATGTGTATGTGTATATTAATACGTATACATGTTTACATATTATGTATAAATGATAAAGCAATACAGATAGAAAGAGAGAGAGAGACAGAGAGAGAGAGAGAGAGAGAGAGAGAGAGAGAGAGAGAGAGAGAGAGAGAGAGAGAGACTGCTTTGCAATTCATATCATGAGCAACCCGCAATTGGTGGTTCAAAATTCAACAAAAGTCAAAAGATGAAATTATTGTTTCAGCAACACCCCCCTCCCCCAACAACGAACAAACAAACAAAAAATCCACAAAAACAAGGCCTAATAGTAAAAAAAATGTAAATGTATGATCTCAGTCATGTATGCATGTTGATTTGGTTCATCTAGGTCTGTACTCTTCTCCCCTTCCCCACTCAAAAGAACTCTCTGTCCTCTCTCTCTCTTCTCTGTCTCTCTCTCTCTCTCTCTCTCTCTCTCTCTCTCTCCTCTCTCCTCTCTCGTCTCTCTCTCT